CTCCTCCTCCTCCTCCTCCTCCTCTTCTTCTTCTTCTTCCTCCTTCTCTTCTTCTCCTTCTCCTCCTCCTCTTCTTCTTCCTCCTCCTCTTCCCCTCCTCCCCCTCCCCCTCCTCCCCCCTCCTCCTCCTCTTCTTCTTCTTCTTCCTTCCTTCCTTCTTCTTCCTTCCTTCTTCTTCTCCTCCCCCTCCTCCTTCTTCTCTCCTCCTCCTCCTCCTCCTCCTCCTCCTCCTCTCCTTCTCCTTCTCCTTCTCCTTCTTCTTCTTTCTTCTTCTTCTTCTTCGTGCAGCACCCCCCTCCCCCAGTCCTTTCAGCAGTTCCAAGAAGGCTCCAGTGGTGGGATTCATTTTTTTTTTTACTATAGGTTCTGTGGGCGTGGCTTGGTGGGCATGACTTGGTGGGCATGGCAGGGGAAGGACTGTAAAATCTCCAGTCAGAGGCGGGATTTGCCGGTTCTCCGAACAACTCAAAATTTCCGCTACCGGTTCTCCAGCACTGGTCAGAATCTGCTGAATACCATCTCCGCTCCACTCCCATTTGCACCACACAGATAGACCTGAGGACATAAGATAAACCTTCAGGTGCTTCAACGACCCTCTAAAAGGATGCAAATGACCAGCTGTCTCCAAGGAATATAAATCCTTCCATTCCCCACTATTCAGTCAGAGCTGAGGAAGCTTCTTGGATGAGAAGCGAAATGTCTTCAAAGGAAAACCAGAAAGTCCAGTTGCCTCTGGGGAAAAGGCACCTTTTGGGTCAAGGCTGCACAGATACCAGCTCCTCCTCCCCTTTTCCTCACAACAGCAACCCCCTCACTATGGAAGAGTGAGGGACTTGGCCTCAAAGTAACTGAGGGAGCTTCCATGACTGAGAATACACCTGAAACTAAGGTGATCCTCAGGGCACGGATAAACCTCCAAGTGGCCTCAATGACTCTCAGAGGGATAATTAACGACCAAAGGACTGCCAAGAATATATAAATCCTTCCATCTTACCATGAAGTCCAGAACTGAAGAAGCTTTTTGGATGAGAAGCGAAATGTTTTCAGGGAAAAACAAAGAAAGTCCAGTTACCTTTTAAGAAAAACACCTTTGGGACAAACATGACCTGGACGACTGAAAATATCCACAGACACCTGAAACTAAGTTTCCCCAGTCCAAGTCCAGCACCTTCCATACTGCACATACATATATCTATGTATACAAATTCACAGTGAACTTGGCCTTGGAAATCTTTGCCAGATGAATAAATGAAGGACAAGATTTCTTTTTCTTACATATATAGTCCAGAGATAACTTTTTGAGAAGAGGGGGATTTGGAGAATTCAGGTCTGAAAGTTTTTGTGTCCCTGTTTATTTGCATATTTAATTTACACACCACCTGACTCTAGCTTAGATCAGTTTAGTACTAGGTCAACTGTGTTTGTTGATGTACTCATTTACATCCCATCTTTTGTGTAGGAGCTCAAAGCGATGTACACGATGTTCCCTCTTCCTATTTCTCTTCACAATAGCTTGTAGCAGTAGCAGAAAGATTGAACATGGAAATCTACCGTAAACAAAGAAATGAGTGTCAGTGGTAGATTTTCCCTCCCCCGAATTCTACACCTCCCATTTCTTGCCCCATCAGAAATTCAGTTTTTCCTCCTCCTTCTCCTCCTGTAGCTCTTATTTAAAAATGGGGCGACTATGAAAATTGGAAACTATAAATAATGGAGGCATTAAAAAATAATGAGGTGCTCTCTGAGCTTGATGATTCTCTTGCAGATGTTTCATTACCCAACTAGGTAACATCTTCCATGCTAGAAGGGAGTATGGTTTGTAGAGAGGGAGGGAGAGAGGGAAGAAGGAAGGAAGGAAGGAAGGAAGGAAGGAAGAAAGGAAGGGAGGGAGGAAGGAAGGAAGGAAGTGGAGGGAGAAGGACTGTGAGGTTGATTGGTCAGAAGTTGGTTGTTTTCTTGTAGACATTTCATTACCCAACTAAACAACATCATGAGTGCTAGAAGGGAGTAGGGTTTGCTAAGTGGAGGAGGAGGAGGACTGTGGGGTCTTTGGTGCTCTCTGAGGTTGGTGGTTTTCTTGCAGACATCTCATTACCCAACTAGGTAACTTCATCAGTGCTGGAAGGGAGTGGGATTGTAGAGAGGGAGGAAGGAAGGGAGGGAGGGGAGGAGGAGGAGGACTGTGGGGTCCTTGATGCTCTCTGAGGTTGGTGGTTTTCTTGCAGACGTTTCATTACCAAACTAAGTAACACCATCAGTGCTGGAAGGGAGTAGGGTTTGTGGAGTGAAAGGAGGAGGGACTGGGGAGTTCTTGGGTACTCTCTGAGATGGATGGGGTTTTTTCCAGGTGTTTTATTACCCAATAGGTAACATCATCAGTGCTAGAAGGATTAACGAATGGGTATGCTACCTGTTCCAGAAACCAATCCGGGCGGCATCCTGTCCCATCTGTCCTTATTCTCATTTTCTTGAGCGGTGCAATATCCGGAATTTCCATGATAAAAGTATCCTTTTGGCCAATTTCAAATCTGGAAGAGAAGAGATCTTTGCTCAGAACTCATGGTCTTCTAATAGGACATCAACCAGAGGCTTTTAAGCACATGGGGTTTCATTGTTTTATGATTTTAGAATTGTAAACCGCCACTTGGGTTGTGTTGGGTGGCTGTAGAAATTGAATCAATAGATAAATCCTCAGCTTGCTTTTATGGCTAAAGAGGGACTAGAATTCCCAGTCTCCTGGTTTCTAGACTGGTACCTTAACCACTAGATCCCCATTGGCTAAAAATGTTGCTGATTCCCAACAATAGAGAGCAAGGGCCAGAGTGGGCATTGCCAGAAGCAGGCAAATCTAGGTGAGTTTTGTTGGTAGAATTATTCGTCTCTGCTCCTGGGTTCTTACGCTATGAGGGTATTAAACAGAGGCTGTTGTCCACAAGTCATGAATGGGATAGCGAGAGGGGTTACGTTTAATGCACACCAGAGCATAAATCTGAAGAAAAGTCTAATAAACAAAAAGGGAGAAAGAGAGAGAGAGAAAAAATCAATTAATGGCTTGATCAGGTGCTTACTTAAGAAGCCAAGCTCATTCCTCCAGACAATTAGTTCCCCTGGGTGTTTGCTTATTTTTCCCCATTGTGTCCACTTATCAATATTTGTGTTGCTGGAGCTATTTCACAGCTAATGCTGATTTAAATTAAATTGCCTTATTAACTGAGACAGTTTAAAAAGATGTTCTGGTCAATACCTATATCACCTCGGGCTACCACTTAAAGGGAGGGCAGATTTACTTCCTCGCTCTCTTTGCTCCCAGTCTGAAGGTGAATAAACCATATTTTGCTACCGCAACGAGTCCCAAATGTCAAGCATATTTAGGGCTCAAGAGGGGTTTAGGGGTTAGAGCCGCTGTGCAGTGGTGGGATTCAATTTTTTTTAACTAGCGGTTCTGTGGGCGTGGCTTGGTGGGCGTGGCAGGGGAAGGATACTGTAAAATCTCCAGTCAGAAGTTGCATTTGCAGGTTTTCTGAACGACTCAAAATTCCCACTCCCGGTTCTCCAGAACTGGGCAGAACCTGCTGAATAGACCTCTGCCGCTGTGCTTTTGGCATTGGGATAGGAGAGCCTTACAATTTACTGGCGGGCACTCAATTTCAGCTTAATAAAAACTGAATTTTCTTTCCCCTAAAGATTCGGCAAGGAAAATCTCAGGAAATCTGTGAAGTCAAAGGAAGGTTTGGCAGAACTTCCAATGACTTGCACAGATGGAATCAGCTTATGGAAACCAAGGATGCATATATGTAAATAGGACTTAAGTTAAATAAGTTATGAAGATGTGTTGTCAATTTTAATGTTTTTAAATTTCAAGATTAAATGCTTTTAATATTTTGTTTTAGGAAGTTATTTATGGCATTGCAATTGGTCCACCCATCATGAAAAGAAAGACTAAGAGCGACATCATAGCAAAGTTCCAATATTTGAGGGGCTGACGCAAAGAAGAGGGGGTCAATATTTTCTCCAAAGCACTTGAAGTCAGGAGAAGAAGCAATGGATGGAAATTCATCAAAGAGAGAAGCAACCTAGAACTAAGGAGGACTTGAGGGGTCCTTGGTGCTCTCTGAGCTTGCTTGTTTTTCTTGCAGACGTTTCATTACCCAACTAGGTAACATCATCAGTGCTAGTCACTGATGATGTTACTTAGTTTGGGTAATGAAACGTCTGCAAGAAAACAAGAATGCTCAGAGAGCACCAAGGACTCCTCATGTCAACTCTGAGCTACAAATATACTCCTTTATGAGTAAGAAGAAATTCCCTCACAGAACAATTAATCAGTGAGACAACTTGCCTCCAGAAGCTGTGAATGCTCCAACACTGGAAATTTTTAAGAGACTGGACAGCCACCTGTCTGAAATGTTATAGGGTTTCCTGCTTGAGCAGAGGGTTGGACTAGAAGACCTCCAAGGTCCCTTCCAATCTGTTATTCTTTTGTAAGCCACCCAACGTCCTTGATACAGAAATGGGCAGCATGTAAATTGAATAAATAAATGAATAAATAAATCTAAAACGGAGTTTGATACACAGCAGTCTTTGTGCTCAGTTCATGCAACCATTTTGTTTGTTTGTTTAATTGATATGCCACCCAAATCACTCTGCAAAGCGATTTCTTTTTTAAAAAATATTTTATTAATTTTCCAAAGTTTACAAATATAAAATAAAACTGCGCATTGTTATCAACATCAAGACATCTTTTACATTTCCTTACGTTTTTCAATATATGGTTACTTATTCCATTACCTTCCATTACTTATTCCATTATCTTACTCTGGTTACAAATCAATATATTTCATCTTACACTTCAGTCTTTTCTATAACATCTATACATATTTACATACTTCCTCGTTCTTTTCCTAATTGCCATTTTATTTTATTTTTATTTTTAAACCACTCATACCAGGCATACCAGGCTCTGTAATATATTGAATCTTCTTTGTGTCTTTTAATTTCAACGTTAGCCTGTCCATCTCTATACAGTCTATTATTTTCTTTATATAACCATGCCCTCTGATGGTATCCTTTTCTCCTTCCAAAGTTGCGCATACGAAATCCTTGCAGCTTTTAGTATATGTAATATAATGTACCTATCTTTTTTTTACTGAATTTTTGTGTTATTATACCTAATAAAAAAAAAATTCTGGCTTAAATTCAGTTTTCTGATTTATAATTTCCTCTAGCCATTGTCTGATTGTATTCCAGTATTTCTTCATTCATTTCTAATAAAGCGATTTCTGCAGCATGTTCGACCCACTAAGAAAAATGAATTTGAATCCACCCCCGCATTTTTGTTATGCTTTGGTGTTTGATGGGTGTGGGGAAGCTCTTAGTATTTTTTCATTAGGCTTAATGCTTATTTTAGGACTTGCACAACAATATTCATGTTTTTGCACTTCAACACAACAGCGACAACTCTGTCGCTGATTTGTAGCAATCATGCCATCAAAATCTGGCAGCGTAATCAGGAGTTTGCATATAACAGAATTATAGTTTGGAAGTATTTCTTTGATGTCTAAGTCAGCATGGGTTCCTGGTGACTGCCTGCACAACTCCCTATAGTTTTCTTAGCAATATGTTGGAAGGGATTTGCCATTGCCTCCTTCCTAGGGGTGGAGAGAAAATGGCCGGTCCAAGGTCAACCAGCTGGCTTCATGCCCAAGGCAGGACTAGAACTCACGATCTCCTAGTTCCTAGCTTGGTGCCTTCACCAATATACCAAACACTCTCTCTTGTTCGTAGTTAAAGCACAAGCTTAATCTCCAGAAAACTTTTCTGGTTCAGTCCTTTGCCTTCAAACCAACACAGGAAGAAAAAAACCTTCACTTTGCTAGCGTCAGAGCATTTGCAGGGTCACTACTATTGTGAGATAACCCAGGAGCAAAACACAGCACACAGAGGCTTTGGCTATTTAACGGTGCTTATATACCAGACATATACAGAAATATGCGCTGTAGGCAAACACCTGACAAGCAATCAATCTTCTTAACTCTGTACAGAAAACTCTGCAATGGAGACAGGACACAAGGAGAGAGAATTCTCCCTCTAATGGCTGCCTCATACAAACACCTCTTAAAGTGATAAAACTTCTGTGGACCCTTTCTTAGTCTAAAACTGGCAATACCAATGGCTGATTCACCTTCATGGCATTGTCCTTACATCGCATCAGCTTTACAGCTGGTCAGCTCTTAAATCCCAATACCTCAACAACTAGAGACTTGGGATTCACAATCAATTAGACTGTACAACAGAGAGGGGGAAAGTGATAGAAAAGACAATTTTTTCTTTTTTTTTCCCTTGAGAAAGCAGAGTTTAAGAATTCCTGACTTTCCCCAAGCCTGCATCCCTCCCCACCCCCACCCTCAAAAACTCAGTGGTTTAGGATTTAACAATGAAGATTTTTTCCCCTCAGACTTAATTCCAATATTGACTTTCTCTAAGATCGTTGGACTTGGGTTTTCTTAATGGTTTCTGTTCTGTATATATATTTGCATTCTTGTAAACCTGCACTTCTGATTGGCTAAACGCACAGCACTGGGATTGGTCGAGTGCGTGGCACTGATTGGCCGTTACGAAGCAACCGCGATTGGCCGAGCCGATCGCGGGTGATTCGAACGGCTGTCATTGGCCGCGGCACCCGGCGCCAGTTCAATATAAGCCGCCGCATTCCAAGCCGGCGGCAGATCCAACTTAAATAAAAAGAGCTTTAAACCAGTCACTGCCTCGCGTCTTTTCTGGGGACCGATCGGCCGACTTAACAGTTTCCCATCCAACTATTAATCACATTATCTCCTGCTTAGCTTTTTTTTTTTCCAGAGAAGCCAAAATTGGAGCTACCACCTAACTGGGCTGCCTTGTGGCCTTCTATCTGCTTCTATATTATTGCTGCCTGCCACTGATACAGATAGTCCCTGACTTGCAACATTTAGTGACAGTGCAAAATAACAAGGGCACCGAAAAAAAGGGAATTAATGACCATTTTTCACATTTACGACCATTGTAATAGCTCCCTGGTCATGTGAAAAAAATTCAGGCGCTTGGCAAATGGCTCATCTTTATGACGGTTGCAGTGTCCCGGGGTCATGTGATCCCATTTTGCGCCTTTCTGACAAGCAAAGTCATTGGGGAAGCCAGATTCACTTAACAACGGTATTACTGATTTAACAAGTGCAGGGATTGACTTAACAACCGTGGCATGAAAGGTCGTAAAATGGGGCAAAACTCTCTTAACAGCCATCTTGCTTAGCAACATAAATTTTGGGCTCAATTGTGGTCATAGGTCGAGGACTACCTGCACTAGGCCGAAAAATTATTCAGCATTGTTTTTCCTGATAGATCTCATGGAATGAGAATTTTCTTCTAATGGCTGTTGGTCTTGATGGCAGGAAACTATAGTCATGGGAAAAGGAAACTTCTGAATAATTATCTGGCAGGTTTGAGTGCAACACAGGTAAATTTAAAATCGCCTTTCATGGGCTACTCCTCCCCAAATACCTTGGATCAAGAGAGCCAGTTGGAAGAGCTCAATGTTGTGGTCCGCTGGCAGTCTGTGAAGATGGCAGCAGAGTTGGACAGTGGGGAGGAACAGGGGCCAGTCTGGGAGTCTGGGGAGGACTCAGACGCGGGTCCTGCGTCCAATGCAGAGATGGGGCCAGGCCATCTGGGAGTTACGTGCTGACTCCGGAGCCTCCAGAATCTGACAGCAGCGAGGAAGAGGAACAAGGGGAGCCTTTTCCCAGTGCGCACTTGCGCAGAGCTGCCAGAAGGCAATAGCAGTTAAGACAAAAGGGGCGACTCGGGAGAAAGGCTTGTCTCAATCAGCCTTGATCAGAACAGCCAACCTATCTGGAAAGCGAGACGGTGATGTTTGCTGCTGAAGTGCCTGTTACCTGTTTCCATTTTTTTCCAGCTGGATCTCTTCCGAACACCCACTGGTTCCAAAGAATGTGAAAAAAATGCCCGTGTCCGTTCCAGCCTGTGACAAATCTCCAGTCTCCACGGTCACTTCATAGAGAATCTGTGGAAAATAGAAGTTCACATTTAGCCACCAAAACAAAAACAAAAAAACACACCCAGATTTTAAAAGCTAAAATAGAACCAACCCACAAATGCCAAGAGACTGTTGGAAGAATTATCCTTCTGGGTTCAGTACCAAGTGGGGAAAAAGACTACTAGGAAACATGGAGGCTGTTTGGAAAGATGGTTTAATGGTAGACAGGACCACATGGCTTGGGGCTCCAAAGTGAAAGGACGATCACATGCTTCAAGATGTTGGGTGAAGGAAAAGAAGGAGCAAGATGCTGAGAGACCCTTAGTTATATACCCTCTGTTGGACCCCCACCCTGGTGTTTCCTGTTCCTGTGTAAAAAATGTATCCCATTGGCTGTCAGACTCCCAGGGACAGGATCTTAGCTAACTTTGTAGGCTTTGTCTGGACCACACCTGAGTGCTGGCTGATGCAATCTTCCCAGGCCAGGTGGTGAGATGGGTAGAGGTCTTTGTTATGTAGAATACTCTGGCCCAGGCCTTAATGGCCCGCCCATTAACAAAGATGTGGGGCGGTGAACTTCTGCTTCTGAGGCGAGTTTCTGCTTTTGAGTTTCTACTTCTCTTTTTAGGGGAAGTATTCTGCCTTTTTAATATTTCCTAGGATATTTCATTTTTCTAGGAGAGGGGGTGGGTGCTAACGTCCTACAAGACTAAGCCACCATCTTTAAAACAGGGATATCGGATTGGATAGGGAATCAGAGTCATTGGCTTTACATTGCAAAATTGGCTTCCATTTATACACTGTAGCTGGGTATCTGTCTAGGTGTGGTAGAGGAGAATGAATTAACTCTGAAGATGGAACTAATTTCTGCATTGCAAAACATGTTTTGGAATCAGCTGAAAAAATGGACTTCTTTCCCACTCCTCTGGTCTTTCGTATTCTCTGTCTGTCTGTCCACCTGTCTATCTGTCTGTTTGTCTCTGTCTGTCTGTCTCTCTCTGTCTCTGTCTCTCTCTCTGTGTGTGTGTAAGAAAACCATCAAGCAAAGAGCACAAATAACCCATCTCTCTTTCTTTCTTTCTCTCTCCCTCCCTCCCTCTCTCTTTCCCTGTCTCTCTCTTTTTCTCTCACAAAGTGAGAGCAGGGGGGAAGAGAGAGAGTGGGAGGGAGGGAGAGAAAGAGAGAGAGAGAGAAAGAGAGACGGGTTATTTGTGCTCTTTGCTTGGTTGTTTTCTTGTAGATGTTTCCTTACCCAAACCAGGTAACATCAGCAGGGCTAATGATGTTGTTACCTAGTTTGGATAATAAAATGTCTGCAAAAAAAACCCCCAACCAAGTTCAGTGAGCACCAACCCTGAGCTGCAAATATTCTCCTTTACTGGTGGGTGGATGTGTTACTTCAAGTCAGTGTTGACTCTTGCCAACTGCTTGGACAAATCTCTGCAGTTTTCTTGGCAAAATTTCAGAAAGTTGTTCGCCACTGCTTGCTTCCTAGGAATGAGAAGGTGTGGCCTGCCCAAGATCACCCAGCTGGCTTTATGTCTAAGCCAGCACTAGAATTCACAGTCACCTGGTTTTCAGTCTGGTGTCTTAAGCGTAACACCACAAGGGCTCAATGCAGAATTAATTTATGTATTGTCCATCTATCAACATGTCCAAGATTATCCAATGGGCAGGTTTCGAAAAGTTGTCTTACCATGACAACTCAATGAAATATGCATTTTTAAAAAAAAAAAAATGAGGACAATTCTAAAATAAATGAGGAAACTTGCCAATTGAACATATCCCAGAAAGGGTATGGCTAGCTGACAAGAGCTAAATAGCTTGAAATAGATCTATACCAGAGGTGGTATTCAGCAGGTTCTGACCAGTTCTGGAGAACTGGTAGCAGGGGTGGGATTCTACCAGTTTGCACCAATTCGCTAGAACCGGTTGTTAACATTCTAAGCAGTTCAGAGAACAGGTTGTTAGAAGAAATTACTGGCCTAATCCTGTAAGGAAGGAAACATTCTGGTGTTGCTTACAGAAACTGCCTCTCTGTTAACCCTTTTTACATTCTTGGCAGGACTAGACTTCCTGTCTCAGCAACCTCTCTGCCCATCCAGTCACATGACCACCAAGCCATGACCACCAACTAAGCCACGCCCACAGAACCGGTTGTTAAAAAAATTGAATCCCACCCCTGTTTCTGGGGAACTATTTTTTGCTACATCTGCAAAGCGAGTTTTATGTCCCCATAAAAAGTAGAGTAGAGTAGAGAAGAGCAGAGTAGAGTAGAGTAGAGTAGAGTAGAGTAGAGTAGAGTAGAGTAGAGTAGAGTAGAGTAGAAAATATGGAATGGAATGGAATAGAATAGAATAAAAAATATGGAATGGAATGGAATAGAATAGAAAATATGGAATGGAATGGAATGGAATGGAGTAGAGTAGAGTAGAGTAGAGTAGAGTAGAGTAGAGTAGAGTGTAGAGTAGAATAGAATAGAATAGAATAGAATAGAATAGAATAGAATAGAATAGAATAAGAAAATATGGAATGGAATAGAACAGAGTAGAAAATATGGAACAGAACGGAACAGAACAGAAAAGAACAGAATAGAATAACCCTGGAGGTCTTCTAGTCCAACCTCTGCTCAGGCAGGAAACCCCGTACCATTTCAGACAAGTGGCTGTCCAGTCTTTTCTTGAAAACCTCCAATGTTGGAGCATTCACAACACCTGGAGGCAAGTTCGTGTCACTATGTCCCTTCAGGACAGTCATTAAAATGGTTGTAAGTTGAGGACTACCTCCAACATATTTGCTTCAAATGAGTGACAGAAGGTCTTTCAGTAAGACTAACCTTTAGGCCAATATTGATGCAATCCGCATCCAGGATGTTGAATACACGTGAGGTGAGGCCGTCTCCCCTATCCTGGGCCAGCCAGCACTTGCAAACAAAAGCGTATATCACACCCTTAGTTGGCACTGTGACACTGAATTCATCCAAGAGCCAGGAGCTTTCTGGAGTAGCCCCATCGTGGCCGATCTAGGAGACACAAGAACGGATTACCAACTTGGTCAAAACGAACACAGGTGAGATTCCTTAAAGATCTACAGGAAAGGATTAAAACTGGGTCCAACTGAAAAAGAGCAAAGAATTCTACTATAGGAAAACCGGGACACCGGGCCCTAGCCAACAAAATGAAATTCAACGGAGAGAAAAGTAAGGCCTTACACTTAAGCAAGAAAAAACAAATGTGCAGGTAGAGATTAGGTGAAACCTGGGTCAATAGCAGTAACTGTGAGAGGGATCTTGGAGTCCTAGTCAGTGGTGGGATTCTACCAGTTTCCCTACCGGTTCAGCGATCGTGCACTTTGCGCGTGTGCATCTAAAATGTGCGCGTGCGCAGCTTTCCGCCTGAGGCTTTGCCGCCCCAATTAGCTGAGAGGATAAAGAACAGAATAGTGCAGGGGTGAAAGGAAGAACCGATCCTGCACTTTTCTCTTCTTTCTCCTCTCAGCTGATCGTCGGAGCTTTTTTTTTTTTTTTGTACTAGTGGTTTGGGGAAACCGGGCCGAACCGGTAGCATTTCACCACTGGTTCTAGTGGACAGTCACTTAAATATGAGCCAACGGTATACGGCAGCGGCCAAAAAAGCTAATGCAGTTCTTGGTTGCATTAACAGAGGGATAGTATCAAGATCACACAATGTATTAGTACCGCTTTATAAAGCCTTAGTAAAGCCATACCTGGAATATTGCACCTGGTTTTGGTCGCCACATTATTCCAGAAGGTTTAATGTTCACATGGCAAGAACAGAGACATAGAATTGACTCAATTGAGAAAGCTGAATCATTTTACACAGAATTTTTTGGAGGGAAAGAGGAAGAGGCAGAAAAAGAAACCTCACGAATTGAATTCCAAGAGGACTGCCAAAAGGGTCTCCTCCTTGAGCATGGGTTAGACTAGAAGACCTCCAAGGCCCCTCCCAACTCTGTTATTCTGATAAAACCAAACAACCCGTGTGAGGGAAATGGGAAGGGAGGGAGAAAACAATGGATTTATTGTGATTTATTGTATAGAATGCCTGTACATGAGTGGAAACTCTTTTGGTGTTAAAACCACGATACTCATAATCCACGTGGCACAAATTGGAAGACGCTGTTCACTTAGATTAAGGGTGTCATGGCCAGATCGATGTCACTCGTGTCGGGGGTCACCTGTGTGGCCAAGTGCTGAGGTAGGACTTCCCTCAGACACCCCCCATCCTTCCTTCCTTCCTCCTTCCTTCCCTCTTCCTTCCCCTCTTCCTTTCTTTTCCTCTGTCTTTTCCTCTTTCCCTTTCTCCTTTTCTGTCCCTCTCGGAGGCTCAAATGCAAAAGGGGAAATTTTGTATTGTTTTGCTTTTAGTTTGTTTTGCTAGCCCTCTGCCAGCAAAAACGGAGCTCGGGAGGGCGATGTGTGCACCCCACCCCAGGGCCCATTTTCATCTGCGATGGCCTCCTGCAGCCCTCTGTCAGTGAAAACAGAGCTCGGGGCAGCTGCATGGAGTCCTCCTGTTTTCTCTAGCCGAGGCACCGCGGGCCAGTTCTTTGCTGCTTCTAGCGCAGCCCCACAGGCCAGATCTAAGCACCCCACAGGCCGCATCCAGCCTTGAGTTTGACACCCCTGGCTGAGAGTCATTATGTCATTATAAAAAAGTCATTATAAAAACGATGTTGAGACTCTAGAAAAAGTGCAGAGAAGAGCAAACAAGATTGATTAGGGGACTGGAGGCTAAAACATATGAAGAACGGTTGCAGGAACTGGGCCTGGCTAGTCTAGGGAAGAGAAGGACCAGGGGAGACAGGATAGCTGCCTTCCAATATTTGAAGGGCTGCCACAGGGAGGAGGAGGTCAACCTATTTTCTAAAGCACCTGAAGGCCAGACAAGGAATAATGTATGGAAACTGTTCTGACCCAAATCTGGTTCCATGAGAGTAAACACAAGACAAAGGTACCAGCACAACCTTTTGCTGTTTCATTTACAAATCCTGTTTTTTTCACAGATAAAAGGCTGCTTCCAACTAATTAGCTCCAATAAGGAAGAGCCTTGCCAAGTTTTTGCAAGTCTGCTAAGAACAACAGATAAAGTTCCCAAACAATAAATCAAAGAGTCTCCAAATACCAACTCAGATATTCTAACGTCCACCAGTATCAAACTTCTTTGCCTTCTGCAAAGAACTCCAGTTTCTCAGCTGACTTTTATCTTCTCAGGGAAAGACTATTTTCTTCCAGCCTTACTCCCGAGTCGCACGTGCTGCTGCAGATGCTCTTTCCTTTGAACAGCCCTGCATGCACGTGCAATGGGCACAGGCTCCTCGGGGTCCTCATCATCGCTGCTGCCAGCCTCCACAATCTCAGAAGGCAGCATTGCACTCCCTGATGGTCCTGGCCCCATACCTGCATCACATGTAGACCCCTCATCTGAGTCCTCACTCTCTGAGACCTCAGCCATCCACACCTGCTGCCGGCGAACCACAACAGAAATTGATCAAGAAGAGATTCAACCTGGAAATAAGGAGAAACTTTCTGACAGTGAGAACTATCAATGGAACAGCTTGCCCTCAGAAGTTATGGGAGCTTCATCACTGGAGGCTTTCAAGAATAGATTGGACTGCCATTTGTCAGAAATTGTGCAGGGTTTCCCACTTGGGTGGGGGTGGGGGGGGTTGGACTAGATGGCCTACAAGGTCCCTTCCAACTCTGATTATCTGTTATGTTCCCACAAACTAAATCCAATTCTCTTCCCTAATGCTCATTTAGTGCTGACCATTAATTGACTGGATTGTGTATAGGTGATTTTAGTTGACATTGTCAACTAAAAAGATACTCCTTTAGTCTTTTTAGCTGCCAGAAAAAGGGAGGGGGTGGAAACAAGGCATTCTTGAAATGCCTAGATAATCACCTCGGCAGCCCAAAGTTGTTGGAGCATAAGAAGGTTATTGCAGAGGATAATGGATGACTCTTGGAGACGGATGTGTCCCATTGGAGAAGTCACATCCAGGGGGTGGGGGAAAGACCAGGGTCAAGGGGGAAATGTATGATGTAATTTTAGTATCGGCTGCACCCAGCCACGTGCCAACATGGCAACTTCTAATAAACCAATTTACTTTTCTCTGAAATGCAGCTAGAGATTTTTGATTTGAATGAGGGTGGATTTGTTGGAGCCCTCACAGCCAGCCGATACTAAATGGAAAAGCTTCTAGCAGTAAATTTGTACGTCAAGCTGTCGAAATATGAATTTCACCATGCACAGTTGGACTACCTGGGATACTGAGTCTCAAATAAAGGCATAGAGATGGACCCAGCCAAAGTACAAGCCGTCCTTGGTTGGCAAGCCCCTTGCACCCACAGACAGCTACAAAGCTTTCTGGGGTTTGCAAACTTCTACCGGCAATTCATCCCCTCCTTCATGAGGATTGCCAAACCCATGATGGACCTTCTAAAGACAGGGAGCACAGAAAAGACACCCCACCTGGGACAACCCCTACAGTGGGACCTAACCTGCCAAAAGTCATTTGAAACACTGAAAGAACTGTTTGTAAAAGAACCGGTGCTGAAGCACCCTGACTTCGAACAACTCCTCGTCGTACAAGCAGACGCCAGCGACGTGGCAGTGGGAGCAGTGTTACTCCAAAGAAACGACCGAGGAAACCTACAGCTCTGTGCCTACACCTCCCGTAAACTCACAAACATAGAGAGGCGATGGGATGCATAGGAGAAAGAGGCTTTTGCAATAAGATGGGCATTGCAGATCTGGCATCACCTGCTGGAACGGGGCCAGAAGCCATTCAAAGTTTGGACTGACCATAAAAATCTGGAAAGCCTTAGGACCCTGTGAAAACTATCGCCCAAACAAGTCCGCTGGGCCCAATATTTCAACCGATTCAACGTTGTGCTAAAACACATCTCGGGGGGGGAGGGGGGAGAACTTTCTGGCTGACGCCCTCTCTCACATGTCCCAGTATAAATGTAAAAGGGAGAAAATTATGAATGCCATCATTCCCCCTATCCAAATAGCTGCCCAAGTAACCACCAGACGATGATGACGCGACCAATGCAACCGATCCGTGGACGACTTAGCCACAAAATTAAAAACTGCACTGCTAGCAGATCGTTGGTTCTGGGACAATCAACACATCTTAACGAAAAGAGATGACCTAACCTGGAAAGAAACAAAACTCTACATCCCAGAATCCCTACATACTCTAGTCCTTCAGAGGAGCCACGACGCCAAACCGACAGGCCACTTCGGGTTCTTAAAAACTTTACACTTAGCTCGGAGGCAATTCTAGTGGCCTGGCATAAAGAAAGATGTGGACAGCTATGTGAAGAGTTGCACCATTTGCATTGCAATGAAAAAACCAGGAAAATCCCCCTGGATTGCTACAGATTGGGGGGGTGTCTGTCCTGAATTTTTGACCCTGATTCCTTGGATTTGATACTCTACTGTAGGGTATCAAAAAAAAAAAAAAGACTGGGGTTATTTTGAATAATGATGCTGCAGTTTACCTCTAATGTTTGAACTGGCACAATAGATCTTAACCCTGAAAGGTTCAAAGAATAGGTAGTCCTTGATTTAAAATAATCAATTTACTGACTGTTCAATGTTACAATGACAAGGAAAAAAGTGACTTCAGGCCATTTTTCACCTTTGCAACTGTCCTCATGATCATGTGATCAAAATTCAAATTGGCAACTGGTTCATATTTATGACGGTTGCAATGTCCCGGGGTCGTGTGATCATCTTTTGTGACCTTCTCAAGAGCAAAGCCAGATTCACTTAACAACCATGTTACTAACTTAATAATGGCAGTGATTCCCTTAACAAAGGTGGCAAAAAAGGTCATAAAATGGTGGCAAAACCCTCTTAACAACGGCCTTTGCTTAACCACGGAAATGTTGGGCTCAATTGCAGTTGTAAGTCAAGGACTAACTGCAGCACTCCAGCCAAATGAGCTGACAAATTGCTTGTCGTTTAGCTTCTTCTCTCAACATTCAGC